ATGAGAGTAGGGTACTCTCTAGTAAACTCATGAAAGGTCTTGGAGTATGACGCATAAGCTCCACCCGAGGGGAAGACCCACGGTAGCCTAGTATCGGTCAAGGCTTTGTGTGAAGCTAGTTTCGTAGAAAACTTGCAGGTCAAGCCCAAGTCCACTATTCAAGTTGCTTAGTAGTGTACCATAGAGTTCTAGGTGGAACTTCAACTTAACAGTCTCCATTGCCGTACCGGTATATAAAACAGTGTTTTGGAATCAAAGGCAAATTTTGTGTGCCTCCGGGATCTGATGGGGGATTGCTGGAATTTAGTCTATTTTGGGCTAGCCCAATAGCAGTTTTTAGTATTCCTAGTAAATCCTAGAGGCTCACGCAGCCCATTCGTGCAAGGTAAGAGGTGGAACAAAAGTTTAGTCCCACATTGCTAGTTTGGTGAGAGTTGAACCTCCTTATAAGGGAGATTGTTTTCTCACATGTATGATCATGAGAACAAGAGGGACATTCACGCGCGCTCCTCCTCCGCTGCCCGCCACGCCCCACCTCGCCTCGCCTGGTCATGACGCGCCGCGGGTTGCGGGAATGAGCTGAGCCGATGTCTAAATTTTTGCCACGCACGACGGGTATATGAAAGGTCAGTCGGGAGCTGGAAAGTTTTGCTATAGTGGATACTGAATACGAACGCTGCAGCCTTCGGCTGATGTTTGTTTGTTTGGTCTCCCTTTTTCTCTTCAGCTCCCGACGCAGCCTTTTTACCTCCTTCTCTTGTGCCTATAAAAGAGAGGTCGCTCCTCCCAGACAGACACACCAGAACATCTTCTTCCTCTCGCCATCGAGTTCCAATCTCTGAGCTGCTGCTACGGTCTTCCCCATCCCGCCTGCAGCGTGCACCGCAGGTCGGGACAGTAGGCCTCCCAAACCCCACCAGTTTGAGACTTGTACGGAAGAAGGGTGATAAGGTTTTTGGGGAGCGCTCCGCGCGACTACTAACCTGTTCATCGTGGACGCTCCGGACACTGACGACCACTTCCCCAACAACGGCTTCTTCCTCGACGTCGACAACCTCTTCGATGATATGGCTGGTGAGGATGTCGACCCCAAGAACAGTGCTTTTGCTGCTGCTGTTGTCCCGTACGTGTTCCTGCTCTTTCTGTTAGAGGTTCTGCCACAGGTCCTTGCTCTAGTGTCTGCCCTACATATGTTAGGTTCTAGTTCATATATATAGCTTGCTCTACTGTCTGCTCTAGATATGTTTGGTTCTAGTTCATATTTGCAGATGCCATTTACCTTCTCACTATATGATTGCATGACTTGTTTCTCTACTATAATAATCATGTTTTATCTAGTATTTCTGTTAATAAAATCATATGGTAAATTACTCATCGCCACCGTGCTGGCGGCCCGCTATAAGACGAGCGCCCTCTAACAGCCTACTCCGTCTATATATTGTCTTTTTTTATTTTTTAAATACCAAAATTTAACTCGAGTATGCAATAAAATACACTCTGCTTAGCCCCCTGTGCGTTCGCCTTCGTCTCCCCCGCGTGTGGATGGCGGGCTCGACTGTAACCCTAGCCATGTCGCCACCGCACTGACTCCTCCACCCTATCGTGGTCACACACGCCTTACTTGATCGTCCATGCGCCCACTCTAGCCGACGACCTCCACCACCGGCTTCCGTCTCCCCCTCCGGCAACGACAGCTAGGTGAGCTTTCTTCACCATTTTTTTTTGTCTTTTCCTATCGTAAAATATGAATTGTTGAATGGTTGTTACTGAGTTATTAGTTAGTATGGTTGTTAGTGTTAGCCGCCTTAAATCTGTAAACTGGACCAACCCTTTTTTTAAGTTTTGGTTACAAGCCACGGGTAACTCGACCAACCCTTGATTCACCTGCTCCTATATAATACGCTACGCTAGTACCTATGTAGATGCATATGAGTCGAATTGAGTGCCCACCATTTTCCACGGTCAACACTAAGTCACTAACTAAGCGCAGCAGCCTTAAACCAGTACGTAATTTAGTGCTTCTACTATGGCAGCTTCGTCCCTGGCTTTCGTGGCGCGCCGTGGCGAGCCCGAGCTAGTCAAGCCGGCCGGACCGACGCCGCGCGAGCTCAAGCGGCTCTCCGACCTCGACGACCAGGAGAGCCTCCGGTTCTACCGCTCCGTCATCTACTTCTACCGGGGCTGCCCGTCACGGTCGCGCGCCGACCCGGCCAGGGTCATACGTGGCGGTCTCGCCGCGGCGCTTGTTTACTACTACCCTATCGCCGGGCGGCTCCGCGAGCTGCCCGGCGGGAAGCTCGTGGTGGACTGCACCGGTGAGGGGGTGTGCTTCGTTGAGGCCGATGCAGACGTCGTGTTGGACGAGTTTGGCGACAGGCTCTGCCCGCCCGTTCCTTGCGCCGGCGAGCTCCTGTGCTTGCCGGAGAGCAACTCCGCTGTTGTCGTCAACCGAGCACTACTCTATGTTCAAGTAAGTTATGGGTGGCTCGCAAGCGCGGGGGAACAGAACCCCTCCCACGTGCCTTTTTGTTTTGGCTTTCGAATTTATAACTTTCATATTTTTTGAACCAAAAGTTTAAATTAAGTCTTGTTTTTAGATTCGTGTTGTTTGTGACAAGGACTTTCAAATAAGACCCATTTCGAACATGTTTTGATGATCTTTTTAAAACTTCGTTAAGTTTCAAACATTGAAACTTAGGCGAGCAAATGAAAAAAAAATATGTTTCAGAATCTGCGACCGACATACATACAACCGACGAAATAGTAAAAGTTTGTACAAGCATCCTTTAAGAATGACATATCACTAATAGAATTTGCAAATATAATACGACTGACCAAAGGTAAGATGGAGCAGACGAAATAGTAAAAGTTTGTACAAGGATCCTTTAAGAATGACATATCACTAATAGAATTTGCAAATATAATACGACCGACCAAAGGTAAGATGGAGGCAGAAAGAAAAAAGTCTTCAAGTACAAGCCCCCACTGTTTAGATTAAAATCTTTGTGAAAATTTCTCAAAATGAAAAAGTAAAGGATCAAATCACACTATAGTGCTCTTTATTTCTAATATCATATCAATAACGTCGCATAGAAGGAAGGCACATTTGGAAAGAAAGAGACACAAGTAGATCATAATAAACCTATAAAATGAGTGTTAAAGAAAGGCCTAGAAAATGATATGGTATGGTAGAAAGTAAAAGGATGTTATGGCTACAACGATAAAGGTTGTAGGCAACATACTATGTCATGTGCGTAACAAGTCAACTTTATCGTGCTAACAATTTTTTTAAAGAAAAACGAAAAGGACATGATAAAACCGAATAAGACTGACGAATAGTTTTACAAAATTTCTATCAATATACACATGCATTAGGCCGGAAGTGACATATGCTATTAGAAGAAAAATTGTGTATCCAAGCATGTCAAGGAATGAAATTGCCTAATAAAAATTGCAAATACAATGCAGCTAAGGATGAGGTGTGTGGACGAACAAAAAAAGTAATCCTGTGATTTTGATTTATACCTGGGCAAAGCCAATTCCTCAAAAATCTCAAGGGCTCTTTATTCTTTGGTCCTGAAATTCTGATGGACATGAGAGCACATAGGAAAGACGCAGAAGAATTACACACGAAATTTTCTACCAAAAATGAAGCACGGAAGAGAGACATACGCCACAAAGTAAATAACGCATCACTTCTACTTCGGTACAACCCCCTAAACAGATCAATGAAGGTGATCTTTCCATACCTCTTTATAATAAAAGATAGGATGGTCTTTTAAAAGTATGTCACCGTACTTACCACCCGCACACACCCTCTCCACCTTGGGCTGGCCCATATTACATTTTTTCCTTTTCTATAGAACCATCAAAACTTGAATGCCCAATGAGATTCAAACCCAGCACCTATACGAAGCCCATAGAATTTTTGAAAAGATTGATAAACTTTCTTCAAATCCTTGGATGCTTTGGTCAGCCCAACAGACGCCCGATGGAGCCATTTGACGGATGTCAAAAAACAACGTGCTTTCAAATAACCCGTTTGGCCAACCCGAACACTCTCGGTTGAACATGGTCTATTTTGTGGACACATTTGCAAACAGGTGGGCATGCCCGATGAACCCAACATTTGCAAGCAGGTGGGCATGCCCATGGTAAGCATCAATGCCCGGTTTGAATGACGTTCGACGCCATATGCAAGTTGTGACCCTCCGACCATTATCAGCCTTTTTAATGGAGAAAACTCCAGAAAATGCAAAACTTATAAAAAAAACTAAAATAACTTGGCGTGGTGTCTTTAATTGATCGTACAAGCTCATCAAAAAATATGGTCATTTAAGGTGTGTCGGGAAATGAGGTGCTCCCAAACGGACTCTTTTGACCTACCCGAACACTCTCCGTTGAACATGTTAATTTTTGGAAATCTCAGGATAGAAGCAAGTTTTTCAAGTAGGTGGGCATGATCATGTTAGGCATACATGCCTGGTTTGAACAACTTCCGGCATGGTATGTATGTTGCGGCACGTCCGGCTATTTATCAGTGTTTTTCCACCGGGGAAACTCCAAAAAATAAAAACTTGTCAAAAACCCAAAGAGTTTGGCATGGTGCCTTGAGTTGATAATAAAAGGCGATGAAGAAAACAATTGGGGCCATTTCAAGGATATCCAGACACAACATGCTTTCAAATGGAGCTTTATAGCCATACCCGGATTGCCTTCGCTGAAAATGGTTTAGTTTTGGACATTCTTGAAATGAACCCAACTTTTGCAAGAAGGTGTGCATGCCCATGGTAGGCATCCATGCCAGGTTTGAACGAATTCCGACACCATATGAAAGTTGTGGCACGTCCAGCCATTTACCGGCCTTTTTGACCGAGAAAATTCCAGAAACTGCAAAAAGAAATTCGAAAACTCAAACAACTTCGCATGGTGTCACGACCCAAGACTACGCGCAGTCTGTGGCGGACACGCTAGTGCTGCGCGGGCGGCCGCGGTTCACCATGGCGCGCACGTACCTGGTCACGGACCTGACCAGGTCGAACCTGAACGAGGTGGACCTTGGGTGGGGCAAGCCGGTGTACGGTGGCCCGGCCACGACAACGCTAGCCACGTTCCACATTCCAATGAAAGGCGGTGGGATCATCGTGCCGATGTGCCTGCCGTCACGCGCCATGGAGAGGTTTGCGGTCAATGTGCGTGCAGGGCTGTCGGGGGCTTCTTCTTCCTGTGGCCATTCCAGTAGCAAGGACTCGACCGTGCTGTCCAAGTTGTAGGCGGTTAGGCAACTGCTGCAACTATCTTCTGGTGGAATCTGTCTACCGGGGCTCAGTTCGCAGTAATCACATTTCTATGGATTTATTTCCGACTCTTCAGCGATATTCTTTGGGTGTGCCATGGCATACCCATCAAACGTGAGATGACCGTAGGGGCCTTAGTTCAGTCTCTCCATCAAACGTGAGATGACCGTAGGGGTCTTAATTCAGTCTCTCCAAGGAGCTCATCCAGGTCGAATGTGCGTGTGTATGTTTATAGTGTGAGCGCTTGTGTTTGTAATTTGTTTCTCAAAAAGAAATATGTCTATCTAAATGTATTACATACTATTCCCTCCGGCTCCGTATGTAGTCCATATTGAAATCTCTAAATAGACTTATATCTAGGAATGGATGGAGTGCTCCCGTGCCGCTCACTAGTGGCACCAGGGTGCCCCACCCTAGCAGCCCTCGACTCCCCACCTCCTCTCTCCTCCCCCGCCGCCAGGCAAAGCCCGCGTGGTGCCGGCGGCGGTGGAATTACTCTCTGATGGTGTACAGCTCCTTGGCATTTTTGGATCTGCGTGCGGCTGCTGGACGAGCTGCATGAGTGCTGAGGCCAGTTAACTTGACGGCCGAGCGGCACAGCCCTCCCGCTACGGCAAGCAGGGCGTCTTCGTGAGACTTTGACTTGTCTCTTCCTGTGGCTTGGCTCCGGCTTGCTGTAGGGCATGGAGGCAACGAGATTGTGGGCTCCGGAGACTCTGGTTCTGGGAGGTTCACGACGGCTTCTTTCGCATGGGCTTCGCTGCGAAATTCGCGCCTTCATGCGGACGACCCGACCGGTTACACCCGAAGCCTAGCGCCACCATCTATGGCTCCGAAAGGGTGGAGCCTCTTTGGAGAGGGCATTGTGCCGCAGTTTCTTGCATCGGGTGTGTCCGGTCCAGGCGGTCTACCACTCCTCCGGGTGCCGCCCACAGATGCGCCTGTCCTCCCTGGCGGTGGCGACGGCAAAGTGTTGCGGGTGCTCAGATAAGGCGTGCTTCAACGACCTTTTGCTGCTCACGACGGGCCGGGTAACGGAAAGGTCTTCAAAGAGGGTTAATCCCTTCAAACCCGGTGGCCGACTTTGGCGGTGAGATGCAAACTTTGGACGAAGACTTGACGCAGAGGAATGGTTGTGCAGCGGCGGCGGTTGGACATCGCATGTACCTGCTGGGATCGTGGAAAAGTGAGGGCGACGACACATGTGTGACTTGGATGGTGGTGTTGTGTGCATCGGACTCGAGCTTCGAGGTGAAAATAAAACGTGTAGAATCCAAGGAACTCTTAATAGTGTGGAGTCCATACTTATTAGTAGAATTCATGCTTAGTATAAATGTTGTAGTGTCTTTTGATAGTCTAGAAATCTATACTTGGTAGAAATATATTTGCAAGAGTATGTGCGAGGCTACTTATTAATTGATATGTTTTTCTTATTCAGAAATTGCCAAAGAGCTTATCTGTAAGTTGTGGTATCGAGCCTGACGATGAAGGCTCTGCTGGAATATGCCTTACCGCAAGGGGCTCCGTCACCATCTGTGTGTGTGGCGTGGACACGGAGGGTCGCACACACTTAAGCTCGGTTGGGTGAAAGAGCTTTCTCAATGGCAAAAATCTTCATGTTGGACAAGCCATCCTAATTACTATTAGAAACACCCACCGCCAAGGCTTGAGGATGATGATCGTCATCGATATCATCTAGAACTATATATGTGTGTGGCTGCTGAACCATATATATGCTACTATATGACTACCTATTAGAGTGCTTATCAACTATTATTAGTTCGCCATATGAGATCTATCCATGCATGTTGACTATGTATGAGTACCTATAATGTTTGTGACATTGTGGTCATACTAAATCTGGTATTGTGGTTAATGATATTGTTATATGAGTGCCTAGTATTTGTGAAATTGCAGATTATTGAAACGGGTACTGTTCTACAAGATAGAAAGCAATTTATTGAAATGGAGGAGCGAGGTGCTGTTGGGCCTGTGGCGCCACCTAATTAATGTGTCATGTTTTGTTAGTGTTATAATTAGTAAGGCTATGCTAGGGTACCTATGTACTCCCTTTGTCCGAAAAAGCATGTTACAAGCTTTTCCCTCAAACAGATTTATCTACTACTAATTTGGTGCTAGATACTTTCATATGAGGGTCAAGTTTTTCGGACGGAGGGAGTATAAGATTATTATATGTCGGAGCCGGGTGTACCGGTATCCTTTTGGGAGTTGGTCATGTCGGGTTCATTACAACCATCAGGATCGTTGATTAATTGTACGTCGTCTTCTGAACCCTTAGTTTCCACTGCTTGCTGGGCATCGTACACCTCCTTCTTTAGAAGCACTAGTAGAAAAAGGGCCATTCGTCTCGGTTCGTGAGGGCCATTTGTCCCGGTTCCCGAACCAGGACTAAAGGGTCATAACTAAAGCCCTATACCTTTAGTCCCGATTCTTTCAGGAACCGGGACAGATAGGGCTCCACGTGGCCGCTGCGGCTTGCCCAGGCAGGGGGACCTTTTGTCTAGGTTGGTGCCACCAACCGGGACCAAAAGGCTTCCACTCGTCAGCAGTTCAGGGGCTGGGTTTTTTGTTTTTTTTCTAAAAGGGGGGGGGGGTTGGGTTTTTTTGGGGGGTTTTGTAGCTTAGGGGTTTCATATATTGTGTTAGCTAGCTAATAGAGAGGATTGTCCTCTCTTATCTCCGTGCTTTGTCAATGCTACGTATAAAGAGGACTCGACACGTTAGCTAGCTAGTAAACAAATGAAGGGAACCATTAAGTACAGAAGATCGTTGAGGGAGTCCTGGATTAGGGGGTGTCCGGATAGCCGGACTATAACCTTTGGCCGGACTCCTGGACTATGAAGATACAAGATTGAAGACTTCGTCCCGTGTCCGGATGGGACTTTCCTTGGCGTGGAAGGCAAGCTTGGCGACACGGATATGTAGATCTCCACCCATTGTAACCGACTCTGTGTAACCCTAGCCCTCTCCAGTGTCTATATAAAACGGATGGTTTTAGTCCGTAGGACGAACAATAATCATACCATAGGCTAGCTTTTAGGGTTTAGCCTCTCTGATCTCATGGTAGATCTACTCTTGTACTACCCATATCATCAATATTAATCAAGCAGGAGTAGGGCCCGAACCTGGGTAAAAACACCGTGTCCCTTGTCTCCTGTTACCATCCGCCTAGACACACAGTTCAGGACCCCCTACCCGAGATCCGCCGGTTTTGACACCGACATTGGTGCTTTCATTGAGAGTTCCTCTGTGTCGTCATCTTTAGGCCCGATGGCTCCTCCGATCCTCAACAATGATGCAGTCCAGGGTGAGACTTTTCTCCCCGGACAGATCTCCGTATTTGGCGGCTTTGCACTGCAGGCCAATTCGTTTGGCCATCTGGAGCAGATCGAAAGCTACGCCCCTGGCCATCAGGTCAGATTTGGAAGTTTGAACTACACGGCTGACGTCCGCGGAGACTTGATATCCGACAGGTTCGAGCCGCAGCCGAGCGCGCCGCACTGTTATGATGGGCATGATCTAGCTCTGCCGCCGAACAGTGCCCTGGAGGCCGCACCCATGTCCGCTCCGACACTTAGCTCGGAGCCGACTGCGCCGATCGAGGACGGGTGGGTGGACACCTCCTCGAGGGCCCCAATCTCTACGGCGATCGAGCCGAACACCAGCCTTGTCCTTGGCGAAGCCCGTGACTCCAAGGTGCCAGACTCCTTTCCGGACACCGGACCTTCTGCGCCCCAGCCAATCGAATTCGATTGGGCGCCGATCATGGAGTTCGCCGCCGCGGACATCTTTCAGCACTCGCCTTTCGGCGACATTCTGAATTCACTAAAGTCTCTCTCTTTATCAGGAGAGCCCTGGCCGGATTACGGTCAGCAAGGTTGGGATGCGGATGACGAAGAAATTCAAAGCCCACCCACCACCCACTTGGTAGCCACTGTCGATGATTTAACCGACATGCTCGACTTCGACTCCGAAGACATCGACGGCATGGACGACGAGTTAGGAGGCGAACAGGAACCAGCGCCTATAGGGCACTGGACAACCAACTCATCTCACGATGTATACATGGTGGACACACCTAAAAGAAACGACGACGAGGAACAAAGGGACGCAACGAGGGATCGTTCCCTCGAAAAGCAACCAAAGCGGCGGCGTAAGTGCCGCTCTAAACCCCACCTCGACAGAGACAGCAGCCATATAGACCCAACCATAGAGCAGGGCGAACCGGCGGACGACGAACATGCCATCGAGCAACCGTCCGAACAGGGCAACTTGGAAAAACCAAGCAAACAATCCGTCCCCGGCGAAGATAACAGTCTGGATGACCTCACACCGGACAAGGGGCTGGAGCGGAAGAACCTCCACAAAAGGCTCGTCGCCACTGCGTGTAGCCTGAAAAAGCAGAAACGGAAGCTCAAAACAGCGGAAGATGCACTCAGAATTAGACGGAACAAAGTACTCAACACCGCAAACAAATACGGCGACAGTCGCCACACAAAGAGCTATCCGAAGTGAAAATTACTGCCGAAATTTGATGAAGAGGCCCTAGAGCGCCCGCAATCAAAAAATAAGGAAGCCACCTGGTCGGATATACAACCCCATGGCCAACATAGAGCGGCAAACGGCGCCGCACACAAGCCGGCACGCGATCCGCACAAGGATTCGCATCAAAAAGATGGCCCAGCCAGATCTATCTACGGGCCAAGAAAGCAAGCTTTAGTAAGCAATGCAACGCAACAAGTATCCGAACATCGTGGCACACGCAAAGATAGGGGTGCCGCACACCCCCTATGTTTCACCAGTGAGGTGCTGGACCATGAATTTCCGTCGGGATTCAAGCCCGTAAACATAGAGGCGTACGACGGAACAACAGACCCTGGAGTCTGGATTGAGGATTATATCCTCCACATACACATGGCTAGAGGAGATGACCTCCATGCCATAAAATACTTACC